CTCTCTCTCTCTCTCTGTCTCTCATGAATAAATAAATTAAAAAAAAAATCTTTAAAAAAAAAAATAGTGGGGGATATGTTTGTACCATTGGACTGTGCCCCCTGTTTCTCAGAGAGGGCAAGGTACCTGGGATGCCAGTTGGAGGCGGAAGGAGGGTGTGAATTGAATGCTTTTACGTTCTCCCTGCTCTGCTACTTCCCGAGCGGCCTCTTGTGGTTCTTGCTTCCAGCAGTTCTGTCCTCCTAGTTTGGGGTACCACTGCTCTGAACACAAGAAACATCCCCCTCCCCCTACTCAGGATAGACAGGAAAGGAACAAGACATGACAAACTGGCCTTCATTTGCAAGTTTCCTGAAGTGCTGAGTGATGCTTTTTAGGCAAAATCTCAACGGGTACAGAGCCCTAGTTAGGGAACAGGGAAGAGAGCCTAAACTTCTTTTTCCTTCTCTCGCTAATTGGTTTTGAAGAGCGGAACAAGATTTCTGGGTCTGGAGTAGCCGGAGAAGGTATGCACATGCAAGACCCCGGCTGCTATTGCTAGTGTCTGGGTTTGCCCTCTCCGAGCCTCTTGCTTTGGGGCACACTGCACTTGGGAAGGGATCGGTTCTGCTCCCAAGCTGCTGCCCCCGCCCGATCTTAGACATCACGAGCGTCTGGCAGGGACTTGCTCCCTTCCCTGAAGCTTTTACCCAGCGTGTGGTGCTTGTGGTTTCATAGCATATGCGGGTGGGATGAATATGCTCTGTCAGAGTTGGTCAGCCAAGCAGAAGGCTCCATCTCTGGCCATAAAATGATGTCTGAAGAACAGCTTAAGTAAGGACACTTCCTTGGTTTCAGATTGAGTCTCTGGAGCATGACCTGCAGGCCTCTGTGGATGAGCTTCAGGACGTTAAAGAAGAACGGTCTTCCTACCAGGACAAAGTGGAGAGGCTCAACCAGGAGCTAAACCACATCCTGGGTGGGCACGAGAACCGCATCATTGACGTGGATGCCCTCTGTATGGAGAACAGGCAAGTGGCCAGGCCCGGACGCACACTCAGGCAGGACGCTGGCCACAAGTTCTCTGCAGCCCAGAGTTACATTTGCCTTGCAATGAAAGGAAAGTCCCACCACCAAAATGGTGATAGTAATGTCACGTATTAGCTGTAAAAGTCGGAAAAGAAGCACCACACACCTGCTTGTGTGCCTCACCGACCCCTTTCTCTCTCCCCCTACCCTCCCCACTCCCCGGCTGGGCAAGAAGGGTAGGGAGCCAGTGAAAGCTGCTTGGTATTGCTGTCAAGGAGAGGGGAAAGAATAAGAAAATAAATTGAGAAATTCCCTTAGCTGTTTCTTTTCCCTGAGGCAAATTTCAGTATGTGTGTGTGTGTGTGTGTGTGTGTGTGTGTGTGGTCTAATTTAATGTTACGTCTGGTGTCGCCTCTTCCTGCCTGCCTTCCCAGTGGAATCATCTTAATGAGAATTATGTGAAAACTGTATGGAGACCCCTTAGGGGATCTCTGCAGAAGGCTGTTCTAAAGTGGGTTTTCTGTGATTTGGGCATATTTGACCTTGATCGTCTCCGTTTAAGAAGAGGTCACCAGGGGCGCCTGGGTGGCTCAGTCGTTAAGCGTCTGCCTTCGGCTCAGGTCATGATCCCAGGGTCCTGGGATCGAGCCCCACATGGTCGGGTTCCCCACTCCCTCTGCCTGCCTCTCTGTCTACTTGTGCTCTCTGTCTCTCTGTCAAATAAATAAAATCTTTAAAAAAAAAAAAAAAAGAGGTCACCAAGATGCACTTTTCTCCTCCTCTTTTGGTGGTGAGAAAGCATTGTATGTACACGGTGACTCTGGAGTCGGGTTGTTTTCTTTTTTTCTTCTCCTACTTGCGTGTATGTTTTTTATTTTGCTCCCAAACACTTCCTAGTTGCATGTTTTCTTTCCTAGGTACCTTCAAGAGCGATTAAAGCAACTCCACGAAGAGGTCAACCTCTTGAAATCAAACATCGCCAAGTACAAGGTAGAGAATCGTGATGATGCTGGTAATGATTCACTATTGTACATCTAAATGCCATTCTATTTTAATTCCCTTTTATGTGCCAAAGACATTTGAGTGCTCACCTGCCCTCCCGGATAGAGTAAGAGCTTTCACTGAGGTAACCAGGAGGAATTAAGCCCAAAACAACAAACACAACAAAAATAGCTTTTGCAAGAGCATCTTCGTTGCTGTCACCAGGACAGGGCACACGGGGCCTGCCAGGATCTGGACGTGGCCACTTCACAGCCTTGGTCTACATAGAATCAGGCGTCCTATTGGCTTCTCTAGAAAATGTTCCATCATCAGACGCTATCTGTCTCATAATTATCCATAAGAAAATGGTTTCCGAGCAACAAGAAGAAACCAAGATTGGGAAATCACAATGTGAGCGAGAATGTTCACGTCACACTGAAAGGACAGAATGTTTAAATTCTCCCACTGTTGTTTAGACTCATTCCAGCCCCATTAGTTTGATAATATCTATTTCTGCAGATGTTCGTTGTGAGCGTTATAATTAGAAGCATCTCCTGGGTTTCTCTGCTTTGAAAATAGATTGATTTCTCTTCCTGAGGGTAAAGTTTTACAGCAGTCTAGATGCTTGGGAGAACCTTCTCGTTTTCCTGGCTTCTGGTGTTAGCTTTTCTTCTCCGAAGTCTCTATGCTATTCTTCCTTTTCCATGCTGCGGGGGCCACACTTTATGCCAATCTATATATACACATGGAGCCACAGAAGAATGCAGCTTTTAAAGTTGTATAATTAATACATACATTTAAAAAATGTGTGTATGCATTCATTTAACAGCCTTTACTTCGTTCTTCAATGTGCCAAGCACTGCTACACAGTCATATCAATTGTAATGTGAGGGTCTGTGATACAATGGCACTTTGGTGGGCACCTCCTGGAATCGGGTTGCTTTCCTCCTAATCTTGTGCACCTCCTAATCTTGTGTCCATGGCAGACATCATTCATCGGTCCTGACTTTTTCCAGTCCAGCCACGGAAGACTTCTGAAGACCAATAGCGATCTTTTGGCATCGGCAAATGAAAGGAAACCTGTTCTCCATCTCATGTCTATTCAGAAGGGGTTTCCATAACTAGTGACTTCACACATTTGATGGAGCTCTTGCTTTCACATTTGATTTAATTTAATGAATACGCATTGAGTGCCTTTTATATATAGGAGAAGGTAATTGCTGTCATTCTGCTGGGCACCAACTTTAAAAAAAAAAAAACTCCCTACCAGGTCCATAAATTTCATAACTCTTTGTCAGGGACTTGGAATTTTAAAAGTTGGGTCAGCATTTGGAATTTGCCAAGGATTCTTGTGTGCCCGATGGGAGGATGCGTCTACTCTAAGTAGGTATTTTTCTATTTTTTTTTTTTTTTTGGCTTTTTTGATAGAGATTTGTATTTTCTCCCAATGCTGCATTAGAATGCTCTCGAGAGACGGAAAAACTCGAAAGGCCAGAGTAAATCTAGCAGCAGCGCGCTGACTGGAGTCCTGTCTGCAAAGCAAGGTAGGGTTTGTTCTCTGGAGGGACCGCTTAGGACCACAGAACGCCGGAGCTCGGGCTCCGCATCTCCGTTTGTGGGTGGGGAACCAAGGTGGTTCTTAGAACAGCCCTTCTCAAACCTTCATCTGTATCAGCATTGGCTGGAGGGCTTGTTTGAAAACATAGATTACTGCCCCCTACACACACAGTTTTTGATTTAGTAGGTCCGGGGGGCCCCAGAGAATATGCATTTCTAAAAAGTTCCCAGGTGTTGCTGATGCCTGTTCTGGGATCCTGCTTTGAGAACAGCCACATTAGCTATCTTTCTAATAACAGGACCCCCTTCGCAACTGGTCCCCGATCCTGTGCTCTTCCTTCAAGAGTGCTTTCGCTCCTCTGATCACCAGTTTAGCATCCCTGGGTCCATGTTCCAACCTCGCCAAGCTTCTCCTTTTTCTGGCCTCTGTGACCAGAATAGAAAAGTCTCACAGCTGCTGAAATCATTTTATCATGGAACATGTGCCTTTTTCAAAGAAGCTTTTATTGATTGCAATTCTGTTCCTCCTTCTTGTCGATTCTGATGAAAAATAATGATCTTCCAGGAACAGTCCAGGGGAATAAATAGCAGAGAGCTTGCTTCTGACACTTAATATTTGGGAATTCAGTTCTCAGCGTAAGCCTCAGGTTTGAACATGCTCGCCTGGCCCACTTTCGGGTTGTCGGCCACGCAGACCAGCAACGAGCATGCAGGAGTCTTAATCAGAGCTGGAGTGGCTAGGGGAAAAAAAAAATGTGCTGAATCTCCAGCCGGCCTAATAACCAAGGCACTTTTCCAAGCAACTTCTGTTTTTCCACTCAGCTAAAAAAAGGATACCCTAGAATTGTTTTTAAATAGAAAACTACAATACTCCACAGAAATGTGAAGTAGCCCATGTGAGTTTAGCTCTGGATACCCTTGACAGCTAAACATCTTTGAATGGTGAGACCCAGTCTTATCACTGATGTGGGGAATGCCAGCCATGTTCAAAGGCCATGCCGTAAGCCCGCAATGGCCTTCTGGATCCCAGCCTTTCTGGATAACCCTCCGGCAACTTATTTTGAAAAACCTTGAACTCATCCCCTTTGAGCAGCAAGAAATAATTACCAATGTATGAAAACATACTGCTTGAGGAAAGTTCTTCCTACATTAGTTATAAGAAAAAAAACAACATAGGAAGTAACATAAATTTCCAGCAGAAATTAAATAAATTATTCTATATCTCTATATGGGCTCCCAAGCTGCCTTTACATTTTGTGTGTTAGGAGATATTGATGATGAGGAATAGGGTTAAGTGAAGAAAGCTGAGCTTTTTCCCATTTCAGAAGAAAAATGTATGAATCTGTATATCTATGTATAGGCATATAGAAAATGATGTTCAAAGATCTAGTGAGAGATTTAATTTTTTCTGTCTGATAGGAGTACAAGTGGTGTCTTTTTTGTGGTAACTTGTAGTTTCTAAAAACATGCAGACACAAAATATATTTTGTATTTTAAATAATGTCCCTGTGATCTTGCCACCCACTGAACATACTACACCGTAGGAAACTCTGCCACAGAGCGAGGAGCTCGGGACCAGAGTCATTGCCATTTGCAAGGCTGTGTGACCTTCAGCTGATGTTTTTAATCAGTGCCTTGCTTTCCTGTCCATGAAATGGGAATAAATAATACTCCCCAGGTGGGGTTTGTTTTTTTTTTCAATTTTGGACCTCAAATGAGTTTGTATGAAAGTGTTTCAAAAGGGTAAAATAATGGACAAATGAAAAAGATTATTATCCCTTTAAAAAACTGGTGATAAATGTCCATGAGAACTTCCTTGTTTCTGCTCAACCCTCACACTGAATTTTATTTTGTTTTATTTTGACACCTGAAGTAGATTCTTCAATACAACATCATAGCATTTAGAAGTGGGGAGCCTATCCCAGCTTCATTATCCAGGAAGAACGGACATTGGTTTGCATTGCAGTGTTTCAGAAGGACTTAAGACTGAGCTGTAAACTTTATATCCCACCTAGTTCAGGATCTGTTATCTGAAGATCATGGGTGCAGTCTCCCAGCTACTCCACAGTCCATTTCTGATCTGAAATCTCTGGCAACGGCCCTGCTGGAGACAATCCACGAGAAAAACATGGTCATCCAGCACCAAAGGCAGACCAACAAGTAGGTAGCTGGACCCTTGGGTGGGTGGTGGGCGGGAGAAATGTGGGATGCTGGCTGGTGGCAGCCAGGTGGGACTGCAGGCCTTTGGGGGAGGGGAGGGAGCCCTTAAGTCTGGAAGGACACTTCTTAAACTAGAATGGTGAGTCTGCATTACGACAGCATCTTAGCCATTTGCCGGAGTGGGGGAGGGGGAGAATACTACCAGCCATTACGTATTGAACACTTACTCTGAGCCCCTCACTCAGGAATGCAGATGACATGGGCCATTTTGACAGTACCATTGCCCGGGGAACTTACCCTACCTCTCCTGTGGGTCTCCTTCAGGGGCGGCACCTCCTCAGTGCCATCTTAACCTACAGCATGACAATGAGGGGTTCTGACCAGGAGGAACTCCAGGCAAGGCAGCTGGGCCTACAAGGGAGTGTCATGTCACTCTTCCAGAGAAGCAAAGAAGGTGGTGGGACGGAACAATTAAAATAGAGGTCTTCCTTGGTTTTTATAAACATATCGACTAGGTGGGGCAAAATCAAGTTAAAGTAGCCATCAGAGACACACGCAAAACTGGAGGTGTTCAGAGAATGGTGAATAAACAATAAGTTAAGGCAACAGACGTCGCAAACAGGGCTGGCTTTGAGGGCAAGCGACCATGCTTGGAAGGGCCCTGCCCTTAGTCCGGAACTCCACAGTCGCCATCTTCAGATTCTTGATCATTTTTGAACAAGGAGGCCTGCATTTGCATTTTGCGGTGGGCCCCCCAAATTATGTAGCTGGTCCTGCTTATAAAACCTACACGCAGCACCAAAATGAAGGCGTGGAAGAAGTGAGCAGGCTCCGAAAAGCTGGGCTTCCAGCAAGGAGGGGAGGGATGAGGGAATCGGGGTCCTGGTGAGGGGGAGGGGCACAGGGAGCGAGGCAACTGGAAAATGAATGAGAGTATTGTAAAAACAAAATAGAAAAAAGAGAAGCCGGGAGTGAAGGGAAGATCGCACAGGAGATTAAGATATATATAAAAGAAGGCAGGGAGCGATGGAGGGAGTCTGGGTAAACTCAGAAGGATGACAAGAGTCATTTATTGACAGAAGAAGTTTTTAAAATTCTTTTAAAATAAATCTTAACCAAGGAATGAAACAGTCAGGTGCTAAAATGCAGATACTTCTCAAGGGAGGGAGAGGAAATGGAAATCTCCCCAGAATAGGTACGAGGTCTATTTTATCCAGCCGGTAGTGTTCCGCATGAGCCTTCTTTGTCCTCACTGACTCCCAGTAAAGCACCGCTGGGGCTCTTTCAAACCTTCTCAGGTCTTCTAAAAACCCTAGTCTGTTCTCAGCAGGTAACCTCAGCTGCTCTTTTACTGAGAAAATAGATGCTCCTCACCAGGAACCCTATGACTTACCCTCCCCTGGAACCAGTGCCTTCCACCCTCCCCCTCCTGGCTCTGGGAAACACACCGGCCCACCATCCCTGTTGGTCCACACCATCTTCCCTCCTCTGGGCCTGGCTCCCCTGTGAGCAACTCTTCCCACCTGTTCCACTCCTAACCCCCCTCCCCCTGCCCCGGCTCCTGCCTCTTCATCCAGAAACCACACGGAGCTCCCTGAACCCCCAAAGCCTTTTCTCTGCAGCTCCCCCGAATTCCATTCATCCAGCGTCTTTGTGAATAAGAAGGTCGCCTTTACTTCTTCAACAGCAACCCCCTCAATGTGTGTTCTGGGGGGCACCCATGTCAGAATCACTCAGGGACACTGGTTTTGAAATGCAGATTCAGGGGGATTTTCTGGAGGGAACATCAGGGTTCTGGATCTGAACCAGCCCCAGGGGATGCCATATGCAGGAAAGAAAGACCACCTTGGCTTCAACACCTCCCGAGACCTCTTCCCAGATTTTTCACAGCAGTCTTCCTTTGAGGGTCTCCAATACCCCCAAACCCCACTTTCTTAGTCTGTTTCTTTTCTAATTTCTCTGCATCCCAATTCCCATCTTGCACTCATCTCCTTGGATTCCTCTGACTTTCTCCTCATCCCCTCGATTCCCTACATGTCCCTCGCTTCCCTCCCAGGTCTCCACCAGGCCTTCTGCTCTCCTTACCCTACCTGGGGGGCTCCATCCCCACCCCCCATCGTTGCCTCTCACTCTCTGCAGGCTCTTCTCAGAACTCTTGTCCCCACTTCGTCATCCAGAGCAGGACCCACATTTCCAACTGCGAGGCTGATGGTTTCCCCCATATCCCTTCAGCTCTTCACATTCAAGGAATCTAGGCTCTGGGCCACCCACTCCTTAGTACATTTTAAGACCCTGGAAAATGCTGCTGCCCTTTGACCCACATGGTCTGCATCTAGAAATTTATCCTAAAGAAAAAAATCGGTATGATGTCCTCAGATTCATATATAAGGTGTTCACCATGGATTCATTTGTAGGAGGGGGAGAAAACAGAAACAACCCAAATGTTTTTATTTATATTTTATTTTGTTTTATTTTATTTTGAGAGGGGGAGAATGTACAAGCGCAGAGGGAGAGGGAGAGAGTCTCAAGCAGACTCCGTGCTGAGCATAGAGCCTGATGCGGGCCTTGATCTCACAACCTGAGATCATGACCTGAGCCGAAATCAAGAGTCAGACGCTTAACCAACTAAGCCACCCAGGCACCCTCCCCCAATGTTTTTAAGCTGGAGGCTGGTTAAGATTATAGTAAATCCATAAGATGGAATATTATGCAGCCATAATTCAGGCATGACTTGAAGAATATTTAATGGGCTCTGCCCACCATCCTGATACTCAGGTTCAACAAACCTCCACATCTTGCAGGTTGAAGCTGTCCCAAGGCCAGAATGTTTGTCCATTAGAATTGCTGTTCTCTCCCAGTACAGAGGACAGTACTGGGCCCACAGTAGGTACTTATGGTTATTTAATGAATGGATGATGGAATCATCTTCTACTCTTTTTTCTTGTTCCCTTAATACTCTTTACAGTTTTCATGGTTTCAATATATAGGTCAGGTCCTTGTCATGGGACTTCAGTGTACATCTCCTAGCTGCCCTCTCTGCTTTGTTCCCACCAGACTATCGCCTCTTCCTTGGGAAGGCCCTCCCATCGATCCTCCAACTGCAGACCCCCAGGCCCTCCTCCACCACCAACCCCCACACTCTCTCAACCCCCGCCAGCTACAGTTCTGATCACATCACAAGCCTCCACTAAACAGCTGACTTTTCTTTTTTTGTTTGTTGCAAGTTTTTATTTAAATTCTAGTTAGTTAACATATAGTGTAATATGGATTTCAGGAAAAAGCGGAACCATTAGAGCAGAGACCTGCTGCCTGCCGAACTCAGTAACCCCAGGCCGTCAGGCTGAGGTTCCCGCCTCTCAGGACACGTTGATTTTCTAGCACATTCCTACCGTAACCCTACTGCAACCAGCACGCCCCCAGGCTCCATGATGGGCTCTCACCCTCGTTGAGAAACAGACATCTTTTGCTAGGTTTAATTTTGGTTTCTTTGTTTGTTTTTGTTTTTTCAAGCTTAATTTTGTTTTAAAGCACCTTGTCCTTTGTAACTATTATTTAATAATTTTGTACCATCTCATGGTTCAAATTTTTAAAGGTTAAATATCAATGTGTCTCTAAACTACTACTATCTCTCAGACACCCAATTCTCCTTCCTGGAAGTAACCACTATTTCTTATTTCTTATGTATCCCTTTCCAAGAAACATATAACACATTTCCACAGACTCATATAAATACTCATGTATACTTGTATAAATACAGTCTTTTCTCTCTTCCTTTCTTTCTTCTTACAAATGGTAGCAAGTATTCACCAAAAAGAGGGTTTTTTTTTCACTGTTCTGCACCTTGCTTTTTACCTCCATAACAATAGATCTTAAAGATTGCTTCATATCAGTACATAATGTACCTAATGTGCCATTTTTAAAACTTAGAAGGTCTTCGGTTTCATACTTTCAATAAATGTTTTATTTGGGGGCATGTAAAAAAAAACTATACAACAAATGGAGTGGGGGCTAGGAATAGAATCTGAATTCGGTCTGCTTACTGTGATCCCCCTCAACTTAGCCTTTTGTAGCTAAAATAATACAGTAGTTTTGTGTTGGTGGAGCATTATTAAGTGAGAATAAAGGTATTCTGTTCTGTAAGCCTGTGCTCCCCCTACTGGCTTTCCGCCGCCTGACACCCCCCTCCCCTTGAGAGGGCCCAATGGGAGCCATCTTGAAGAACTGATGAATCCACATAGGACTTTATTTTTTGAGAGGATTTTCAAGTACTGGGCATTTTGCTTGAGGTACTCATTGCCAAAGAGTTGGCAGTTGTCTGACTATTGCTAAAGAAGAGATGAGCTTCCTGTGACTTACCAACAGGTAGCAAAGCAGTAATAGAAGAGACAGGTGTTGGGGCGCCTGGGTGGCTCAGTTGGTTGAGCGACTACCTTCGGCTCAGGTCATGATCCCAGAGTCCTGGGATCGAGTCCCACATCGGGCTCCCAGCTCGGCAGGGAGCCTGCTTCTCCCTCTGACCCTCTCCCCTCTTATGTTGTTTCTCTCTCCCTCGCTCTCTAATAAATAAATAAATAAAATCTTTAAAAAAAAAAAAAAAGAAGAGACAGGTGTTGAAATCTTGTTTTACTGAACGCCCCATTTAGTTTTCCAGTCAACACTTTGCTGGTGGTAGGGTGCTGGTGCTGGTGGGGGTACATGAAGATATACTGGCCTTTCACTGCCCTTCCTGCCATGCTAACACTGTTTACTGCTCTCCCCCCCCCACCCCTGCCCCCGGCCAATGGTAAATAGCTTGGAAGTTCAAGATACTGGGAGCAGCATGAACTGTCATGGACCAGAGGAAAGAGTCAAAAGAAGGCCACCCGGGGTGGAGGTGGGGACAGGGTAGAGCCAGTCACGTCTTGAGGACCAGGCTCTCCCCAAGGACCCTCACTCAGGGATTTCTGCTCCCGTGTTGTCTGGGGAATAGGAGGGGACACACAGTGGTGGCCACCTCCCAAGTCAGGTCTGTCTTTTCAGATCCCCTCTGACGTTGTTACTATCAGAAACTACTACTGAAAATCTATCTGGAGGCCTGACATCTTGAGGATTTTCCTAGACTGCTAGGTAGACATATGCTAAAATCCCTCTTAAAGCAAACTGTAGCTAAATAAAAACCTGATTGTAAAATCTGCCCCCTCCTACCAAAAAAAAAAAAAAAAATCCTCTCTCAAACCTGTTTATGCCTCAAGCTACTGCCCTAGCTGTCTCCTTCGATTCTCTGCTAAACTTCTTGAAGAGTCATCCGTATTCCCTGCTTATGGTTGCCCCGAGTCTGCTTCTCCCAACCCTGTCGCTTGGATTCTTTGGTTTCACCCCTTCCACTGTTCCTGAAACATCTCTCTCAAGGGTCAGGCATGTCTTGTAGGTGGACTTTTTCATCCAATGTGACCACCTTCTAGAATAAGACAATATTAACCCCAACCATCCCTCCTGGTCTTCTCTCCCCTTGGCTTCCCGGCCCCACGTGGCCTGGCTCTCCTCTTCCCTGTCCAGCTGTGCCTCTCTAGTCCTTTCTTGCCTTAGACAAGTGGTACTCAAGGGTCCTGTTCTTCTGACTTCTCACACTCTGCTGGTGAGCAGACTTACTCCCCAGCCTCCATGCCCATCTCTGCATTCCCAGACTTTCCTTCTCCCACATGGCCAGCTGTCTCCATGGATATCCCGTGGGCACCTCAAATTCCTCACCTCGGTATTATTACTCCATTCGGTTGACTTCCCACATCTGCTCCGCCCTTGGCTTGCTGGGGCCACCACCATCCCTGACTTGGACATTACCCTTCTGACTGGTCTTTCTGCTTCTACTCATACTCATTCCCATCCATTCTCCACTCCACATCAAGAATACTTTTCTTAAACGTCATCATGCTGCTTCTCTGATTAAAACCTTCCAATATCTCACTGTTGCCAATGTGTAAAAGTCTCACCAGTCTCAATAGGGCAATAAGATCATTCATGATCTGGGTCCTTAAAAACCACTCTGGATTCATCTCTCATTTGTCTCACTTCCACTCTACGGTTCTGCTGAAGTACTTGTATACTTTCAGGCCTATGTTTTGGTTCCGGACCCTCCACTTAGCAGCTGTGTTGCCCTGGGCCAGTTAGTTGACCTCTCTGAATCTCTGTTCCCTCATCCACAAACTAAGCATATTAAAGACTCCCTCATCAGTTGTTGCAAGGGGTAAAGGAGATACTATCTGTTCAGTGCTTAGAGTAATACCTGCTAGAGAACAGGCGATTGAGAGATATTATTCAAACCTTTGACAGGCTCTGTACATATGTGTCTGTGTGTGTCTGTATGTCCACATCTGTCCTCCTACCAGACTTTTAAAAGTCCCTCAAATACAGGGACACAGGGGCGCCTGGGTGGCTCAGTCGGTTAAGCGGCTGCCTTCAGCTCAGGTCATGATCCCAGGGTCCTGGGATCGAGCCCCACATCGGGCTCCCTGCTCAGTGGAGAGTCTGCTTCTCCCTCTCCCTCTGCCTGCCTCTCTGCCTACTTGTGCTCTCTCTCTATCTCTCTGTAAAATAAATAAATAAAAAATCTTTTAAAAAAAAAATTACAGGGACAAAGGCTGCTTCTCTTCATTATCCCCTATAACCTCAATAATTGTGTGCTGAATTGGTCATACTGAATTCAGCGGACCCTGTTCCTATGTTTACTGCCTTCCTCAATGCCTACTGTCCTCTCTCCCTGGGCTGCACGACCCCACGTTCTGTGGACCACCTGCCATATTTGTTCAGCATGAAGCCCATCAGGAAGAGTCTTTTTGTCATTTAAAGAATCTTGGGTCCTATCATACAGGTCACCCAGTTGCATCCACATTTCAATTATGAACAGTTTTTAAAGAGTTCTTGCTCTAGACACAAGAATGCTTGTTTTAAAGTGCCATTGTGAGGTGTTGGTTAAGAGCGTGCACTTTGGCAGCAAACGGAGTTGTAGGTTCAGATCCAGAGTCATCACCAGCTGAGTCCTGCTTGTGGTTCTGGTCAAGTTAACTAATTTCCATGCCTGTGTTTCCCAATGGGAGGAGTAGAGTGGGCTGGATGAGAGCACCGGGGGTCAGCAAAAGACACAGCTTGGAGATAAACTGTGTGCCCTTGGGCATGTTGCTTAACCTCTCTGTTCCTTGGGGTCCACATTTGTAAAAGGATAATAATACAACATACACTGCAGGGTTTTTGTCAGGTCAAATGAGATCATGTAAACTCACTAGGTGCTCAGCATGAGCTCTGACTCATAGCCAGGACTCAGGAAAGATTAGTTTCGCTGTTCATGTTAGCGGTTGTGTCGTTGCTGCTGTTCTGGATAATGTTATGGCTACTATCACTCCTAGCACAATTCCCATTGGACCCATTTTATTACCTCCAGCTCTGTATCAGATGCCTGCATCAGGCCAAAGAGAGCAGTCACTGCTGACAAACAGGCAGGGTCCCTCAAAGTATGGGACACTAGCAAATTCACTGCAGTCCATTTCTGGGAGACAAGGCTCTGTTATCCGGGAACATCAGGGGGTAAAAAAAAAAAAAAAAAAAAAATGCAACCAAATGTCTCTGCAGCACGCCTTTGAACGTTGCTCTGATGGCATCCTTCGGCATGCACAGAAGAGTTAAGCCTTATCTTTTGTTTCCAAGAGGCAGCCACACACAGATGATCTGATCTCGTTAAGAAACAGGCATCAACTTGAACTCTGCTGTGATTGCATCTCAAACCCATCAGCTGGTGAAAAGGGAGCTCGGATCAGAAGGTCTGAGCAAAATATTGAAAGCGAGATTACGAAGAATGGTGTTTATTGAAGGGTCAGGGACATGAAAGTAGAATAGACTCAACAAATAGGGTGGCAACTGAAAGTAATTGATAAAGACTATGCAGAATTTAAGACTTAAGGAAAAGAAGAAAAGCTCCAAGTACCTAGGTGAAGAAAACCACATGTAGTAATGTCAGAGTTTTCTGGAAGCTCAAAGGGAATATTAATTAAGATGCTGCAAGTCAATTCAGGTAAAATAAGGATGAATCCAAAGCCATATATATGTGCAGATTTATACATATTCATGCCTCTATGTATGTGGGTGTGCGCAGCTATCTCTGGAATATAAAGAGAGGTAGGAGAACAATTCTAGCATTCTGATTTCTCCTGCTGAAAGGAATTGAAACTTTGCTATTAAGGTGATTTCCGCGTCATTTTAGCATGACAGCGCCAAGAAAATCCCCCAAATAATATAAAGACTGGTTTTTCAATTTCCAGGCCAATGGAAAGTGATTCAAGTTTGAGATGACTATGAAATCACTTCCCAACTATGTTTAATTTTGTGTAGAGTGGAAGAGGGGAAATACATGCCCACGTTTATGTCTTCCCATGCATACAGACAAAGTTTGGCTCCCAAGTAAACATTATAATCTTTTCAGATACACGTTCCAGAAATTATGTCCCAGTGGGTCAGAATGGTCACCTTGGAAAGCAATATAATTCTTCTAGTGACTCTGCAATTGCTGGAAGTTCTTTTGAAAGGCCTATTTCTTCATTCTGGCCATAGATAATTGCAAGCCTTGAAAGAAGGAAAGCATTTTCTTTAATCAAATGTGTTTATTGAACACCTACCATCAACCGGGCATTCTGCTAGGTGTCAGGGATATGGATATCAGTAAGACATAGGTTAGGTCGAAGAAGGCAGATCTTATTATTTTATTGACTCAAAGCAACTTTACCACGCATGTTCACCCATCTTACCAGTTAGACTTGGTGGTTTCCAGAACTCAGATACATCCTCAAAGAATCAGGTGCGATACTACTAAGGGCGTTCAAAATGAATGATTATCTTCAGCAATGAGCAATTCCCAAATAGAAATTGTGTAAGATGTTTGGGCAATGATGGAATAATTGTTTAGCTTCCCCTCCTTTTTGGGAGAGGACTCACTTAAATGGCAACATTTAATATTTTTTTAATCATTCACTGTATGTTTTCATATGTATGTTCAATAGAGTGTGTGTGTATAATATATATTATACATATATATTCTTTGCACATGCACACACAGTATGTTTTCTGCATATACTTTAAATCTCAAAACATTTTCTATCAGGGCACTCTAGGGGGTATCCCCCAAGTAGCTTGCTCACAGCTCCAAGAGCTGATGAGATGCTCATTAATTTGTCTGTTGTCATTTTCTCCCATTTTCCAGAATCCTAGGGAATCGGGTGGCTGAACTGGAGAAAAAATTAAGAACTCTGGAAGTTTCTGGTTTGTGGAGTCTTCCAGGTAAGCAGAACTTCATGAAAGTTATTTTCCTTTTTTTAAAAAGGCAGCCCTCACCTATTTTGCAAAGAAGATTCTACTTTCTAAATATCCTTTTATTTGAAGATCATTGTTGAAAAATCTGCAAGTGCTTTAAACAGAAGCCATCAATTTTGAGGAAATCAGAAAAACTCCTATAAATATGCACGTTCCCATCTGTGGAACTATGAAGTTTTGCTAGCCTAAGCTCAGAAATTGTCATTATATGTGTCTGTGTATGCTTTATTTTTCACCTTTGTGAATATAGTAAATTGTTTCATTGTTTTTTACCCGTAGGTATCTTATAAAGTTTTGTTCATTTTAATTATCATCCTTAAAAATGAATATAAGAATGTACAAAGATTTGTTCAATTTACTCCTCAATCCTAAAAATGAATATAAGAACTGACAAAAATTTGTTCTGTTTAATTATCATTCCTAAAAAAATGAATGATACCTAAAAATAAATATACTGACAAAAATTTGTTCTATTTAATTATCATTCCCAAAAATGAATATAAAAATGAGTATAAGAAACTTCTTCTCCTCTCTTCCCCTGTCCCATTTTTTTTTTTTAAAGACTTTATTTATTTATTTGACAGAGAGACAGCGAGAGAGGGAACACAAGCAGGGGGGTAGTGGGAGAGGGAGAAGCAGGCCCCCTGCGGAGCAGGGAGCCTGTCGCGGGGCTCGATCCCAGGACCCCAGGATCATGACCCGAGCCGAAGGCAGACACTCAATGACTGAGCCACCCAGGCGCCCCTCCCTGTCCCATTTTATGCAGCTTGAAAATCAAAATTTCCTTTGGAGATTTTTTTTCCCCCACAATTGTACACGGTGTGAGGAAAACTCTGATGTTTCACTTTAATTAGCTATATTTATCCTGTTTGTCTTGGTAAAATACCCCTTCATGAGACCCCCATCAGCTATTCCCCTTTTCTTTACACTCTCCAGAAACTTGTATTTATCATTTTCCACCCCCTCCTCTTTCCCTGAGAGCAACATTTACATATATTTTTAGTTACTTAACCTTTCTGCACAAACCAGCCTCCTCTACCCTTGAATCGTATCAGTTCTGCCCTGTAATGTTCGAGAAATGAAAATTGCCACAGGGACATGGACAACAACACGTTTTTTTAATGTAATCTGAATAGCTGCCTTCGGTTGCCTACAAGCGTGTTTCATAAATTGGAAGTTTTAGCAGAGATTCCTTGAACTTGATGTCAAAAGACCTAACAGAACTAATTAGTGGCAAGTGCCATTCTGGGGATTTGAATGATCCATTTTGCACAGGAACCTTTTGATGCAGTTAAAACCTTATCTTCTTTGAAGGTCTTTCTTTTATTGCATTGAATTTCAGCGCAGTCAGGCAAATTTATCGTTTATTTGTGCAGTCAGATTGCTATTTCTGTGCATAGACTGGAGTTTTGATGTTTGTTTTTTTTTTTCCTCCAAATGACTTAGTGAAATTTCATGATGTTTTATTTCTACAATTTATGTAAAAAAAGATGAAAGTTGAATAAGTAAAGGAACGCTGAGAATTTTCTCTGGTGTTGTTTGGTCTGGGCTGGAATGGCTATTATGCATTAACAATTCTTTCTTTCCTTCTTATTGCTGCCTGAAGGCCTGAGCTACAACGTTTCAGTAGGATTCGGGAGTATGTTCTATTTAAAATATCTGTGTTTGTGGCTAATATCAGCAGTGCATTAATATCATCCCTGCATGTAAATAAATAGAAATGCATTCTGTATGTATCATTGCACTTTTCTGATTAGAACAGTCCTTTGAAATAGAGAATTCAATTAGTACCAAGCAAATATTAAACGGTAAAATGAGCTTTGAGGGACCTGGCTAGATGGATTTTATGCCATCGCCATGTTTGTTCTAGTATCTGGCCTCCACACAGACACAGAGTGGGAGTACAGGGAAAACAGTGGGGACTCCCCAGATCTGATACGGTTGATGTAAGGGAAAGAGGATTGCTTTGCTGCAGTTGTGAAGGATGTCACAATGAGGCATCTCTGTGTGATCGTTTTTAAACCGCGGTGAGAAATAGTAAGGGAAGGGCCTCTTGCAGCATCAATTCAATCAGCCCCTTCCATCCGCTCATTGTTTTGTGGTCGCCATTTAACCTACCGAATAGTGGAGCAAGGGGCAGTATGTTCTCTTCCTCCTTCCTCCTTCCCTCCCTCCCCTTCCTGTACCTCCACCTCCTTCTCATCCTTTCTTCTTCTCCACCTCTTCCTCTTTCTCTTCCACTTTTTTCCTCTCCCTAGGTAGAAGCCATGTCAGTGTTTTGGCCCCCTGGTGGGGACTGAGTCCCAGTAGTGAGAGAGTTGCTAGCTGTCTCTTATTTACTAGCATCTGAAAGGATCAGTGTCTTCTTCAGTAAATCAGTCCATCAATGTGTTCATACCTTTTTGAGCATCAACTTTGTGAATTCAGTTCTCTATCAGGCATTCTAGTCGTGCCCCCTCCAAGAATCCATAGTCCCATTAGGGAAGCAAGATGCATACACATCTAGCAGTGAGAAAAAAACACAAAATGATATATAATTAAGAGCCGAGTGATAAAGGTGTTGGGGTATAAGTGATGAACGTGAAGAGTCATCAAATGTCAGACCTGGAAGGAGAGTTAAGAGCAAAGAATTCAAGGATGGCGAATACTTGGTGTATATTACAAAACACCCATTCCCATGCCAGTGGCAGACATTACTAATCAATCACATGGCTCTTGCATGCTGCCCTATATGGCCCTCAGAACAGGTATCCACCCTGGCTTTCCAGGAAGCCCCCTCCTGGTTAGACTTGACATGTGAGAGAAAACATTTCCCCTTTCCTGATCTAGTCTAATCCCCTCATTTCAGATGGAAAAAACAAAGGTTTAGGAAATGAGAGGATACTGAAGGGACACAGAGGCTGGTATTAGAACTCAGGTGTTTCCACCCGTGCTGGGGAGCTGTAGTTCAGAGAAGAGAGGAATTGAGGGGAAGGGGCAGTGGTTAGATCAGCTGGGGACTGGAGAAGGACTCAGAAGCCAGAACAGTCTCCTCTGAGACTCCAAACGGCAGTGGTGAATTCTGCCTTACTCTGAGACAGAACTGCTGTTGGACTTTGAGCATGCAATGAGTATTCTTTGAGTCTTATCTCCCTCCCTCCTCACTCTCTCAGCCAACAAATATGTAGTTCTCCATGTTGTTCAACAGAGTTGGGGAAAATTTGTGATCTTGCTGGAAAGTAGGCAAGTCTGACAAATGTCACAGTCCACGTGGAGAAATCATCTGGATAGCAGAGCATATTCCAAACTGTTTCATCGGTTCCCAAGAGGTGGGAAGGCATGGGGCTCCTGCAAGAAAGTGGGGGGGCGCAACTGACCTGGTCCCCCGGAAGGGAATGACACCCCCCCCACCACCATCCTCAGTCCCGCAGCCCTTTGCTGGCCTCTGCAGGGAGAGTGGTGCCTGGGGGCTCTGTGGGGAGGTTTCCTGGATGTGCTCCTGCTCTAAAAAGAAATGCTGAAAGCTAGAAAAAAAACCTGACAAGAGCAGAATCGGGCTCTTTGAGTTTTTCATTTAATTCTCTCTTCTCCACTCGAAGCATCAGCCTGAGGAAGAAAATGTGCATTTTGAAATTACTTGGGAATAAGGAAGGTTTCCAGACACTCACATGCCTGGCAAGCAGAGGGGCCTGTGTGGCCTTCCACACCAGCTGCCACTTGACTCTTTGTGGGTCACCTCTCCCACCCCTCTTCCTGCAGGCGAAGGCACCAGAATGAAACAATGAGACAGCCGATTATCAGATTAGAGCTCACATTCATCATCGTAGATGGAATCGAGACTTAGAAACAACAGGACAGGCTTCCAAGGAGGTCTTTGAATCCTTCAACAAACACTTTGCAAGAATGACCAAATCTTGCCATTTTACCTTCAGATTAAGGCATGATCTCTCCAGGTAGGAATTTCAGGAAGTGTTCAGCCTCTCTCCAACCTCCACCTTGATTGGCCATGGACGAGTCGTGGCTTCGGTTTCCTTCGCTAATGCTTGTTGCTCAGACTCTGGGAGAGGTTTCGCAGGGCTGGCTCCAGTGTTTTTGCGGAGCTACTATGGAACGGATGATGCTCTGTGGCTGGAGAGGACCAGGGACACCTTGCACCCTAGAGAATCCCTTGTGACAGGAGGGGCTGAGGGCTTCCCTCAGGCCACCTTAGTCCCTCGGCTGAGGCCAGCTCCCCGCTCTGCCTGTAATTCTGATTCTTCAGCCACCAGAGCACAGGGGACTTGGAAGGCTGGTTGGGACACAAAGGGGCAGAGTATGCCTCTTCCTGCAAGAACAGCCGGTCTACCTGTAGAGAAAGATGGCTCAAGAAATGCAGTCTCTCTTGACTTGAGGACAGTAGCTGTTGTCTTGATCGAGAGAAACAAAAGAAGTCCACGCTGAGGTGTCTGCTCTGGGTTCAGAGGAACCATTAATCCCTCGCAGTGTTTCCAGATTGTATCTTTACAGTACAAAAGGAGACCCGATTGTGTTTCTTTTTTTCTGAGAGCCTCTTAACAATATCCCAACCTGTAGATCTACAGTTCTCTTTGGGACACTTCTCCAGACTGTGTCCCTGAAGATTTGGATTTTTTTTGCACGTGAGACAATAGCCGTGCTGGTGGAGAGCTTTCAGGTAGGCTCCTATCAGATTTCTGTTCTTCCGGGATGCCCCTCAGCCGAACCCAGAGTGCTGATTGCTGCTAACAACATATCCCATCTGCCGGAGGCAGCAGCGAGCACCTGTGCCCACCACGACATCAGCAGTCCCAAGAATCCATTACCCGTGTATTCAGATACATACCGGCTCTTTATTAAGCACCTACCATATGCCAAACTCTCTCCTACAGTCTTGGAAATGAAGCTCCCTAATGGGAAGACAGTACTGGGTACAAACTGAGGGCTCAGAGGTACAGTCCCAAGGTTCACCTGGTTCTCTAAAGGTGGGAACATCTTTACAGAAATACCATTCTGTGTCCACTGAACCTGAAACCGAGTAAAATCACAGAGTTTTGGGGCCCCTGATCTGAGCCCCAGAAAGATTAGGGGCTTGGCTTTAGAAGAGGTCTTGCTCAGAGTTAGACGGCTAAGGCTGGAGCATAGGCTCGGCCCACAGCCCTGGGGTTTTCATTTTGGGCACTGCGATTCCCACCGAGGGAATCCCAAGCCCTTGTGGACAGAAGTTTGGGGTCAAATCCTACTTGTTGTGCTCTCCTGACCGCTGGGCGGCATTCCCTTTATGTCCACATGTTCTGTGTCCGTGTGTCTATGGTCACGATGCTCACGTTTCAGAGCCATACTTCCTGTTCCTGACTTCCAGAACTTGCCATGGCCTCCACAATAGAGCGGTGAGGGTCTTCTTTCCCTCAACCTCTCCATCCACTGGGGGAGTTCATACAAATGGATACAAGGGTTTGGCTGGTAGGGGACTATATGTTCTAAGTGAAAGTTTAGCCATGACAGTTTGGGGGATCTGAGACTACCCGCCTTATGACAGAGTCGTTTCTCAGTCTAAATGACCACATTGAATTAAATCAAAGGTAGCATATGGCAGTGCTGTCTACACCGTAAGGTGATAATTTCAGTATATGACATTTATTGAGTGCTAGTGAAATGCTTAAGGGCTTTACATGAATCCGTTCATTTCATCACCACCGCCCAATGAGGTAGGTGCTGTTCTTCTTCCTCATTTTACAGACGAGGGCTCTGAGGCTGAGTGACTTGCCTGAGGTCAGCCAGCTAGCAAGGGACAGAGTCCAGAACACAAACCCTGTAGTTTGGCTCCAGAGCCGGCACTCCTCAGCCCTCTGCTGTGGTTATGCCTGTTCTCTTCTCACCCAGATCAAAGCCATTCGGTTTTTGGCCAACATACCAGGCTGCTCCTTCATGGTGGCATTTGTGGGCGGCCATGTCCTGAGCAGACTCACAGACTGGCCCTGGACCTCACTGCCTGGTCCTCACACTACAGAAAGGGCCGGCTGGCCATTGCCCTTCTGCAGCGTTACCTATGATTAAAGAAAGTGCCTTGTTCACCCAAACAGCCAGTCCATTGTGTGGGGCGAACATAACCACAACTCCACTGGTGACATAATATGTCCATGTTCCCCTTTTCCATGACAGGGGGCAAGGACACCATACTGTTCAGTGACCCTGCTCTTCCCACCATACAGCGATCAAGATCCCCACTGCTGAAGTTCATCGAGCAGCCCACTGAGAACAAAGCAAATTCTGAGGACGGTAAGCACGCCTTGATTTCTCTGTCTCTGCCTGACCTGTGCCTGGAACGGAGGCAGGGCTCAGTGGACTTCAGCTCCTTCCTGTAGCTTCTGGGGCACTGTGGGGTCATCCCTCGCATTTCCTCTTGTTGCTTATATGGGTTTGTGTTGTTTGGGCCTTCCAGCAGAAGAGTGCAGGCCTCTGTACTCAGCACAGTGACATAGAGGTTAAGAGAAAGGGCTCAGGATTTGAACAGCTCAGGCTCATAGTCCACCCCCACATTGTGTTGGCGTTGAGATTTTGGACTAGTAACTTCTGCCTGTCTCCTTACCTATAAACTGGCGAGATGATGGTGCCAACTTTGGGGAGATCTCAACACATTGCCAGGCACAGGGGAAGTGGTCTGGGAGTTAGTTGAAGGGAGAGTAAAAGCTTCTCCTCTACCAGGCACACTTTCTGGAGGCAGAGTGTTTTGAAGGAGCTCACTGGCCCATTTAGGTGCCAGAGGAGCCCGCAAGTATGAGAGGCATCTGTCTTCCCATGTGATAGTCTTGTTTCCCCAGCTAAACTATCCCTCACCTTTCTAAGTTTTGTCTGTCTTCTTTTTCTACCCCCCAGTGTGATTGCCAGCTTCCAGTATGGCCCCAAATGATCCCCACTTCCTGGTATTCATGCCCTTGTATATTCCTCTCTACACTGTATCAGGGTTCATCTGTGTGACTAATAGAATACAGCACAAGTGATAGTATGTGACTTCCTAGGCTAGGTCAGAAAAGATATATGGGATCTTCCTTGCTCTCTCTGTCTTGGGTCATTCTCTCTGGAGGAAGCCAGTTGCCATGTCTTGAGGATACCCAAGCAGTCCCACATGTTGTTCATGTGGTCTGGAACTGAAGCCTTCTAGCCACCAGCCATCTGGGTGCACCATCTTGGAAGCAGATTCTCCAGCCCCGGTCAAGCCTCCAGATGACAGCTGCGCTAGTTAACATTTTGATGACAATTTCATGAGCGACCACTAGTGAGAACCACCCAGATAAACTGCTCCCAGGCTCCTGAGTCTCCAGCTGCTAAGTTTTGAGGTAACTTGTGGCCCAGCAGTGGGTAACTAATATGCCCAGCATGCAGGTGCCAAGATTGTTTCCTTGATTTCTGTATTTTCTCTCCATCCTCCATTGCTCTGAGTCACACCTGCAACCATCACCTCTATGAAAATATTCTTGAAATATTTTTCTCCCACTGGATGCCATCTGCAGAGCTACAGTCCCTTATTTCCCAAAGTGCAAACTTTACTACCTAAATATTCTGTGGACTTCTCAAGTATGACATCACCAGTTCTCCATGCTGCTTCCCTTTTTTTGTCACTCTCTCAGCTACCCAGCTACCTGGAGTCATCATCGACCACTGTCAACTTTCCTTCCTCATCCATATCTGCTCTGTGGCCACTCTTTCTTCAGAGTTTCTCACACCTCCATTCCCACCCCCTCTGGCTTTAGCTCAACCCTCTTTACTTCCTCGGCACGGCTTGGTGCCGTATTTCCTGTCTTCTAGACTCTCCCTACTTCATTCCCATCTTCCCCCTGCTGCTATAGGATAAAGCTTCTGGAGCACTACTCTCCAATATGTGTGTACCCTGCTCAGAAATCTCTAGTGGCTCCCAACTGTCTCCCACTTAAAATCGCTACCCTGCAACCTGACCTACCCGCTTTCTAACCTGATGATTATCTGACATAACAACTGTGCTTGTATCAAACTGTACTAACTAGTTAAATCACCTGCTACCATTGTGTAACAAACCGCCCCAAAACTTAGAACTAAAAGCAACCAGTGTGCATTATTTATCAGGAGTCTTGGGATCCGACGAGCAGTTCTGCTGATCTGAGCTGGCCTCAGCAAGGCTCACTTATGTATCTGTACAGCTATGTTTTGAAGTTTGTCTCAATTCCTCACAGTAGTACATAGAATGGTAGGAATAGGACAGGTCTGGGATTTCAACAGAGGGGATCCCCAAGCATATGCAGGGAGAATTCTTAGAGAGAGCGCCTGACTCAGGTGGGTTTCACACTGGCCAGAAGGCAAGCCTGGATCTTTCCAGGCAGTAGCATGTGGCTCTTTGCAAGCCTGGCCTGTAACACGCCATGGCCCACCACGCAGTCTGGAACATGCCTTGGCCAATGGTCATCCCGTGCCAGCATCCAGTGTCCACGTGGGGACCCGAAGCCCTCTGTCTGCTCTGAGCTTGTTTAGCCCCTGGGTGGGCCCAGGGCCCCCTGAGCTGAAATGGAACATGAGCCTGGCTTGATTTTCACAAGGGTAGCATAAGTAATGGCCTGATTCGAAATGATAGCTTCCAGAGTTCCATCATTAGCTCTCATTGTTCCAACTCTGTCCTTTGCCAGTGCGGGTGGGAACAAGGAAGCATTTATGTAGTGGCTGGCAGCGGCTGGGATGGTCTCATCACCGCTGCATCTCTGATTAATTCCAACTGAAAGAAGCTCACACTTGGGAGGACAAAGCCCATCAGAGATCAGTTAACAAAAGAAGACGAATGTCCCCTTTGGGCCAGTGTGGGAGGGTGACACATTTTTAGGAGCCTAACACTCTTTCTACAAAGAGCTACTTTTTCTTCATCTTTTCGAGAAAATATTTCTTCTTTCCATACTATTTGTGTCATAATGCGTTTGTATCAGTTGATTGCCTCATCATTATTGATATGTGTTTTGTTATTAATACGCATTAATGATACTAATTCTGTTTTGTAAAGCGGCACAGAATAATTACTATTATTTTCTAATAATATTTTCCCATGCTGAGCTCAAAAATCCTTATTTTATGGAAATGGCAATGCTCTGTGTCTGTTCTCAAAGGAAAAGGAAAACTCTCACAGCTGAAGAGTTAACATTCCAGAATCACAGAGGTACAGGAAGAGTTTTGTTCCCCCAGCAAGTGGCAGAGGCCCTAGGTCTACAGATCAACAGTTGTGACATTTTCAGTAACTTTTCTTTGTCTCCTGATAAGGACTGGAGTATACTTTTTAGATATCTTTTGGATAACAAAAGGGAGGAGAGGATTGATAAATCTTGCTGATGACCCATAATCTAATCCCAGGTGGAGCCTGGTCCCAATATCTTTATGGTCCCGAGGCTCTTAACATCCAGACTTTCTCAGAAAAAAATACATCCCTGATAGGACCAAACAATAGAACTACAGCCTTGCCCATCCCCCGCTTGCTGCTGTGTCTTGACCTCTAAGGATGGCAGCAGTGTTCTCTCCTCCCCCTGCCCCCAAAAAAGGTTGCAAAGTTCTCCCTGGTAATCTAGGAGGTTTGCCATTTAAAAAAGATTCATGCGTTTGGACATGAGCAGAATGTCATCTAAAGAAATGGCACAAGGCAAAGTACCAGCGACCAAAAGGCCCCAGTGTAATTTAGACCACCCTCACTTAGATGTAAATTAAGGTAGAGAAGATTAACCTGACCCACAGTAAAAACACTGCAAATGGTTTAGGGGTTAGGTTGTTACAGGTAAGGTTAATTAATTTTTCAGGGGCACCAGAATATACTATTAAGTGTCCTGGAAGAAGTAATTTCATAAGAGTAATTTCCAGAAGGAGTTTATTCATCTCATGTTGGTGAAAAATTTAACTGCAGAAAAGACCATAATTTACTCCTTTTGAATAAAGCTTCTTGCCCTGTGCTGGAAACTTGCTCAACTTGTACAACTACAATAAGAATTTTCTTTTGTTAGTATGAAAATGATGTTATTGCTGCCCTGAGCTACCTCAGATGTAGCTAAATGTTCGTGTGAGTTAGAAGTCTTTTTTTCCGGAAGTGCCCTTTTAAGAACTTTTAGGGTAGCAACCTGAATACAACTTAGAACGAATACCATAAATTCAAGGATTGCTTTCGTTTTTTGATGCAAGGCATTTACATATATGTACTAATACACTCATTTGTTCATGTATTCATATGTATGCCCATAGATCCAAGCACTGAATAAGCTATTTATTGAGTCCCCACTATAGAACATGGGTAAGGTTTAAGATTTTTATAAGCTAACTATACATAAGTAACAACTTAAGTGTAAAAAAGTAGAAAGTACAAAGTTCCCTTGGGGGTCTAGACACAGCTTTGTGGAGATGAGGGCACTGTGGAGCTTACTTTTTGTCCGGATTTCATCAAACGGGCTTTGTAGTGGAGATGGAGGTTGCGCTGACTGTTGAAGCCGGCCAGCTGGATACATGCAGGAACCATGGCCATGGCAGCAGCATCCACCTAAGCAAAGGCTCAGAGGGCAGGACGGGGATGCCATGAAGGGTTAGGTGTGGCTGGGGTGTAGGGATATGAGGGCAAGAGTTGGGGTGTCAGGTGGAAAGGTAGATGGAGGTTGAGTCATCGAAGGCCTTGAATGTCAGGCCAAGAGCTTAGGTTATGTCCCTGAGACAGTAGCAGCCTTAGAAGGGTTGATAGCTGGGGAAAGGCATAGTCAGATTTGTGTTAAAGCTCTCAGTGCTTTCTACACTGTCGTGTGCGCCCAAATCGCCTGGAATCTTGTTAAAACGCAGGCTCTGAACCAGTAGGTGTGGGGCAAGACCTGAGATCCAGCACATCCAACAAGCTCCCAGGCAGTGGTGCCACCACTCTCCACGGACCCCACCTTGAGTAGCAAAACTCGAGGCAAGGTCCCTCTCCAAGCCATCTGGATTAGAGCAGGGGGAGACTAGGAGCAAAGAAACCTGTTAGGTATGAACGTTACATTATCCAGGCCAAAACCGATCTGAATAGTTATTTTCTCAAAAATCAAGGCTTGCATCATTCCTTCATTTACATATTCATGAATTTCACTGTAAGGACAAGTCATGGCCTCATTTTCAGGTACAGTACTTCCCGAGGTCTTTGAGTTCTTAGGACAGTAATACATAGCTGTCCGTAACTACATACAGGCTTTAGAAAGTATAAAGTAGATTTGGTCGAACTTCTGCCCCTGGGACTTTGTCTGTGAACATCAGAAAGGCTAAAGAGAAAG